AATATAATTAGCGCAAATCTCGAGAACAGCAGAACGGATTTTGATAATTCTTTTTTTAGAATATTCCTTGAAGTATAAGGAGTTCTTACGCAGAGAAAAAGTAAAAAAACGATTCGTAATTATACGTAAAAGTCAATTTGAACATTAATACCGTACCAAAAATTACAAATGTTAGTGGAGAGGTTCCGGGAAGGCAAAACAATTGAGTGACGTGATGTCAATAAAAGTTTGGAAAAGGCAAATACCCCATTTTCAGTTTTTTTTTTATAATTATATGAAAAGTCATTTTAGTCTACATTACAGCTCTATATCGAAGCGAAGCGAGGGCGGGCCACTAGTATTACATATTTAACATTTGAATCAGATTTTTTTTCTGCGTCGATCTGTTTAAATGTCTTTAAGATTTGAGCAATTTTTTGGCGCTTAAGCAACTTGATTAATTGAAGATTATTATTGTTCACAATTCAGACTCTACAATTTTTTTACGGTGTTTGAAACAATTGCTCTTATGCTCTACTATTTGCCGTATGATTTGATGTTTGCTTGACAAAAAATGTATGGCGGGCCGAGTGATTTTACGCTTAAGGGACATCTAATTCGTTAAGTAAACAGTACTATGCACCTTTAATAGGAGGATATTTAGAAAATATTATTTTAAGATTATATTTACAATGAGTTATTTTTGTCATTTGTAAAAAAAACTGTTATCCTCATTTCTGTAAAGTTACTAAAGTGGCGTTTAAGAGATTGTGCTTTTCCACTGTCGATGTGAATTTTATTTTTATATGTCTACCTACCTACTGTCTGAAACTACATTGACCTATTATGCTTTTGTTTCTATTTCAATATCGTTTCTAGATTCCAATTCAAAACCGATCATATCAAATGTGTCGAATAAATACCTATAGGACGTTATTAAGCCTGGTCAACAGATTTTTTGCTTACTATCGCAGCTGCAAGCGCGCTTAGATTGCGCGCAGCACCTATAGTGTGGACAGTGAAGTATGTGTGTTTTGAAGACTTAAATAACCGCTAATGTTTACTTAAATTGTAGCTATTGATTGACCAGTAACAGGGACATAGGCGTAAACATTGCAACTATTGACGGAACCCTTCATCTGATTCACCTGCCGGTTGCCATTTGAGGCTCACTGTGATTGTATCCATTGCACATAAAAGGCATCATGACTGATAAAAATCGTTGCTAAGTGTTTTTGATCTGAGGCCGATGAGAAAAACACACACGGGGCCTTCGGCCAGCCGACTCCTTTAATTTAAGTAATGCTTCACGCTATCGCAACTTAGTCGAGATGCGTGTTGTAAAGATAATGCGTATAATAATTTTTAAAGGTCACCGCGTAAACGCTTCTTGGGTGTTATGTGAGCCTTAAAAGGGTTGAGGCTGCATTTCGGTATAAAAATGGGAGATTTTATAGCTTACCTCAAAGGTCATTGGAGATGGTATGTTCAACGGAGGCGAATTATTCGTCTTAAATAAATATGTGTTATGTCTGTATGAATGTAATTTTAATGCGAATATATATATTTTTTTGGTTTGCTTTCGTGTAGATACGAAGGAACATATTATTAACGTTTTAAAAGGTCATCATAACTTACAAAGTGTAACAGATGTACTTACGCTGGCGTTACTTATTAGTTAATAAAAAAACAAAAGATAAATCTGTTAGCCCGCGGCAAGCGTTCGTCGGTAACAGCAATTTAACTAGAGGGCAATGTGGCTCACAAAAACATAACCGTGATATTAGGTAGCTAATGAGAGTGACGTGTCACTTTGTACACTCACCAACGGAAGGGTTAAGAAGTGGAAAAATAAAAAGGTCGTTATAATCGTGTTTCGAAGAAGCTCGATGGCGCAAGTGGTTAGCGCGTTCGGCTGCGATCGTTGAAGCGAAGCAACTTTCGAAGTGGTCGGTCATTGGATGGGTGACCAAAAGTGTACTAGCACGAGCTCCTCCGTGCTTCGGAAGGCACGTTAAGCCGTTGATCCCGGTTGAATCTGCAGTCGTTAGCACCCACCAATCCGTTTTATGTTTTCATTATTTATATTTTTGGAAATTTATCGCAAAGCTGTCTGAATAAATTTGTTAATTAATAGTAATTAATAATTATCAAAATAAAATTGAAATAGTAGTTAATTAACGTGGAAGTGCTGCAAGCCTATTGGGCACCATCCCTGACGGCGGCGCTGGGGGTGACTTATTTTTTATTTTGTAAATAAGATGTTATTTATAAGTAGGTTAAGGAAATTTGTATTTAAATATTATTGATTTTCTGTACATATATAATTAAACTTTATAACAGCTAGCTTATAACATGGTTAACATAGTTGATTTATATAGAAATACATAGTAAAAGAATAATCTAGCAAAACACATAAGTACATAGAAAAACTTCAAATAAAATTTGCTAAATAATTTATCCTCTGATAAATATATAGCATTTTTATTGAAGGAGTATTACTTCCAATTAATTTAATTAGTAAAACTCGTGAAATTATATTTAATTTCGCCGCAATAAAAAGTGTGTGTTTTCCTTGCCTAACAGTACACAATCTTTTTAAAGGGTGAGCCGACATAAGCACCGTGATTAGTAAGGCAGGGCGCATGGTGGAGGGGTCTGGCTCGGCCATTAGCTTTTATGCAACAAAGCCCATCAGTTTGCTACAAAATTCAAAATCTTCTTTAATAAACGTGTTTTGACTTATGCGTTGTGATATATTATTATTCAACTAGGCACTGAAGATTTGTTTCAATGATTCTGTGAAAGTTCTGGTCTATCAGAATGGCTGATCCCTCTCCTGTGATTAATGTATTTTTAAGCTAAAGAATATCATCATCATTATTATCATCAGCCTATTAATGTCCCCACTGCTGGGGCACAGGCCTTCCCTATGGATGGAAAAGGGAGATTGGGCCATGACGCACCACGCGGGCCCAGTGCGGATTGGTGGGTGCTAACGACTGCAGATGCAGCCGGGACCAACGGGTTAACGTGCCTTCCGAAGCACGGAAGAGCTCGAGTTTTTTTTTTGAAATTTTTGGTCACCCATCCAATGACCGACCACTGCGAAAGTTGCTTAACTTCAACGATCGCAGCCGAAAGCGCTAACCACTTGCGCCATCGAGCTCCTCATCAGCTACTTAAGACTAATCGGGTTTAAATGTTCCCTTCGTTTCTAGGGTTCCTTACCTAAAGGGCGACAAACCATAGAGCATAACGGACTCGATCCGGAAGGAAGTAGCCATAACGAAAGCTTTGTCATCTTACCATTCAAATAGTTCTATGAATTTAAATAAAAAATAAAACTGAAATTATGGTACTATCGGTCTGACACATAAAACACCGCCATGCACAGTTGCACACCCCTTACTTTTTTGGCCATATACTTTGATAGGCAAAATATGAGTATGACTACTCCCCTCCTCTGTTCGTGTTGCTCTATGCGACCAACAGACGGAGATCAAAACAAATCTGCCTTCGCTTCATCATGTTTGTCTGCCCCACGACAACTATTAACTAGAGCCGAGCTCCGAGTCTCAGAGACGCCTTCTAGTTGAGCCGACCCCCTCACGTTCGAGTGGTCTAGAGACTCCAGACGGAGAGAAGACTCACCCCGTGGGGAAATGTTATCTATCTGAAATACCTCCAGAGGCACTCGCCAATTCTCGGCTTGAGGTTCCCTTAGGATCTCACCGTCCCAAAACCCGGTGACGCTGTAAAGGTCTTTTGCGACCAGCAGCATACACACTCAAAAAAAAAATGTCTGTCTCTTACCGAAATAGGCAGACAACTGAAAATTTTATTAAGGGTCTCCCTTCATGAAATGAATGCTGGATTTTGTGTTAAATATTATAATATGTTACGGAACCTTTCGTTTGCTTCCCCGACTCGCAGTTACCCGGTAACTTAAGCACTGTTATTAAAGGCTGTCCATCACATCAGCTCGTGGCGGTGCTAGCCCCAAATAATTGTTGCACTCAAATAACATGGCTGTTAACAAAACCGTTCATTAGTAAACGGGGCAAAGCAACATCCCCAGTGATCGCGTAATTAAAAATAACGAGATTTTTCTCTTCATATTAATCACTTTTGTCTTAATAGGCTTGTTGAAAATATATCGATGTATCGATATATCGATATTTTTTGTTCGATATATCGATATTTTTTGCCGATATATTTTGATTCGATATATCGATACATCGATACAAAATAACCAATATCGAAATTCGTATCAAAAACGATATTTTTTTAATTATAAGCGGCATATCACGATCTAACTAAATTCGTATCTGGAAAAATCATAACTGGATCTCAGATTAATGATATTCAACATATCTATGATCTGTGCTGTATTAAGTATTGTCTATGTCATCATTCGAAAATAGGGTCTATTTTTAGGGAGATAATTTTAGTTCCATTATTATTCTGCGTGTCATATTTCGTGAGCTACTGTACGATATTTTTGGGAAAATTGGTCCGATATATCGATATATCGATGTTTTTTTCGCGATATATCGAAACCGATATTGATATTATTTAATATATCGATGTATCGATATATCGATATTTTTTTCAACTTTCGACATCCCTATGTCGTAAGTGATTCTTGTTTTGGTAATAGTTTGTTACTGACAGTAAAAACGCCGTCGTAGGAAATACTGAAAGGACATCTCTCCGAAAGCATCAGTTTCTACACGGCGAGATGTATTTTGACCTGTTGGCAAATTTGATTTGTTGACAAACAGTAATTAGGTTGTTTGTTACTTCAAACTTTTGGGTACTATATCTGTTGATGTTTCATAAACTTCCATGATTCCTCTTATAATGGACATTCAGACCTTAACATCCATGAATCTGGCTGCGTCGTGTATGTTATGCCTCGTTTTCTATAAAGAAAGCTCGTCCTAGAAGTGCTACTAAAGTAACTAAGCTACCTAATTAATTATATTTAGGTACTAAATACATTTTGTTTGTTATAGCCAACAACAAGGACACGGGAGATCACCAGATCGACCAGAAATCGAACCAGTGGTTTGGGGCCACGCTAGCCAGCACCGGAAGTAATGGACCCATCGTGGTGAGTACTCAATTTAATACGTCTCCGTTGGCACAATGATCTCCGCTCTCCTCTTCTTTACAATGAAAAAGTGACGAAAAAACGGCAAATTTGAAAAGATCATTTATGCATGTTTGGTATAAATCCTCTTTAGAATAACGATAAAAGTAATAAGTTAAGAACCATTTCATTGAAAATTTCATGATGGTTATACAAGATATACCCTAGGTATTGATAGTGTAAGTAAGTCTCTTATAAAAACGGGACTAGCATTATATTGTTGATATTTCCATAGCTTGCTGTAACAAGATTATGGCAATGGTAGAAATCTATATATATATATATAACTCAAAGGTGACTAACTGACATAGTGATCTATCAACGCACAGCCCAAACCACTGGACGGATCGGGCTGAAATTTGGCATGAAGATAGACGTAGGCATCCGCTAAGAAAGGATTCTGATCAATTCTACCCCCAAGGGGATAAAATAGGGAATGAAAGTTTGTATGAAACTTTGTCAATTTTAAACCGATCGGACTGAGACTTTGCATGCAGGTATAAGAAGAATCATAGATGAATGTCATTGTCAAGCTTGAGAACAAAAACTGTAGTCTACACTTCAGCTCTACACCGAAGCGAAGCGAGGGCGGGCCGCTAGTGAAATATATAAGAACTTAGCTCTAGTAAAATATCCCTGACCTCTTCCAAGTTAGCTTTTATTATTGGGTTTTACGCTGATAATGTCAGCCTGTTTCTGCTCTTTATATACTACCTACATGTAGATATAATACAGGTGCCAGAATAAAGTCGTCAAGCCAACAAGGCGGCGGGTAGGCGACGAGCGACGTCTGGGCGAGGCAGGAAGCCGCGCCTCGGCAAACTTTATAGGTCACTGTTACGAGACCTCTGCATTAAGACAACACTGTGCTGTTTTTTATTTGTTAATATAACAAATGTTTTTTTACAAACCGATTTGTGCAAAGGTTACGATGCTGATTGCGGTTTCATATAGGATAGAATTTGTGATAAGCGAAAATATAGAGCTGTTCGCGGCGAGGGAGAAGCTCGAGCCGAACCTCCGAGAGGTTCTCGAAAAGTTCTTCGATCCCCACAACGAGCACCTCGACAACTGGTTTCCGAGTCATGGTTGTTTAATGCTCTTTTATCTTCTTATAGTATTGCTCTCTTTAGTTGGGTCTAATAAATTTTTGGTCTATCTAAATTTGCTTAACTTCTTTAATTATAGAACAATCGCATAACCTAACCTAACCTAACTCCTCCCTTTATGTACCCATATTAACGGACATGTTAATAAAATGCTGACTCATTTTCTAAATGCACAGCAAACAAAACTTAATTAACACGCCCATATTATGGGTGGTACGGAAAAAAATATGGACGATCAAAGATTAATACCGTGCATCCAATTAGGATTAAGATTTTGACTTGACTTTTTTTTACTATGGTCACAGGTCTAATTAATAAAATAGAATATTTGTAGATGCAACATTCACGTAATATGTTGTTAGGAAGTTTGATTACCTACCTGTCCCCATCACTATACAAAAGGCACCATCAATCGGGCTGGGTGTTGACATTTGCAGAATGGGGTCGCCCAAGGCTGATGGGGTTGGGGCACTACTGGGTCACGGGGTCGTCTTTACGATTTGCGCAAAGGTACTATGTATATCTTTATTGCTTCGGTTAGGTCATCTGTGGAGTAGTGGGTCAATATGTTGATTGTGAAACTAACAGATTGTCAATTTTTCGATGTGGACGTTACATTTTCTTTCAAGACCCACATCAGTGGGTTTTTCTAGTGCTAAAGCAGTAAATGTCACTGTTTTTTGATATTTTTAGGTAGTTTCTCTGCCTTGTTGGCTTAAGGATAGATTGTTTTTATCCATTATGGATGATTTAGAATAACTTTATTCTGATCTGTCTATTACTTTTAAACTATCAATCTATTCTTATATTGTATGTGGGAAAGTATTTCTGTCTGTCAGTTACTTTCTATTCTTAAACGCATAAAATGCTAAATCGATTTTTGTAGTTACTTCATCATCTGTCTATAATATCTAAGGATAATGTTCTGGTGAAAAGCATCAGAAAAATAAATTCATGGTTCAGACTCGTTTAAAAATGATTTTTAAATTAGGCAATAGTTAGTGTATTGATGGCACCAAATTTGACTTTCATAAGCGTGTCAACTGTGCCTAAATGAATAAAGAAATTTCGTCTTTGTCTGAGTGATTGGCGTGAAAATATAAGAAATATTTTATTTATCTATTATCCATTTAATTTTCTATTTGATGTATTACTGCAAGTCTCCTATTTTAGATAACGTATTATTTACGTCACGACCCTAGCAATGAACTCAATCACAACTTTAATAATAATCGTTGTTATCATTTCCGATGCGGTAGACGTGTCATTGATTAATGTAGTCTGATGACAATAAAATTATTAATTGGCAGATAAATTGCGAATGTCACGTGCGATGCTTGCTGGTCGTAAACCGCTCCCGAGTTGAGCAACCGGCGCGGGCGCAGGCAACTCGTATAGCACGCCTTAAAACTTTATGTTGTGTGCCGACTTAAGTTTTTTTTATATAAATAATATATTTCACTTACAAGAACTGTTGACTTGAACAAACTTTGGTGGAAAATTTAAAATGCCAAATATATGCTGGCTGATCATGGCATGATCTGTTACTCCGTGATCATGGCGCTTGCAACAGTGCCGAAATATCGGAAACTCGCTAAAAACAAGGTACATGGTCACAATCCCGTAAATAACTTTTATTACTATAATGTTAGTGACCATGAAAGTTTAAAACAATATATACTGGCTATTTTAAAATGTTCGCAAATATTTATTTATTATTATATTTAAATGTTTAAAAGCAGTACATTTATGGCCGAAATTTGTCACGGGAGTTGAGTAATATTTATTATATCCCTGAAAGGTTTATCTTGTCGTATCAATAAGTCAGTATCCCAAAATGGCTAATAGGTATTATCATGGCGGACAGGCCATCGCTCATGCCTCGAGTGTTGCGCTGGAGTCGCATAAAGTCTTTAGGGTTCCTTGGTTTATTCTTGGTACTACTTTTAGCTGTGTTATGCGGGTCATTGCGGGATTCACTTAACACCTAACCCTTAACAATGATGACTACGATGCTTTAAAACCTAAGAATACTTATAAGTTTTGACTTTTCGATAAAATCAGTAATTTTGGCGAAATGGGTGGAGTTGGTTTCCCGTTTCAGCTGTTGGAATATTTCATAGCGGAGATATAAATTTCATTCTATTTAAGAGGGTACGGGAAGAGACTGATAAAGCCAGTAAATAGAAATTAGTATATAATACAAATAGATTCAGTTTTTCGTCTGCGAAAGTCTCTTAATGTGTTACCATTAATAAATAATAATAAATAAATAAATATTTCCAACACTCACACCAATTAGCCTAGCCCCATAGTAAGCACTATAAGGTTTGTGTTAGGGGATACTAGGGTAACGGATAGAATACATATTCTGTACTTAAATAAGTATATTTATATAGAAATACATATTTTAACATCCATGAATGGTGTACAAATGCTCGTATTCATCACACAAATATCTGCCCCCACCGGGATTCGAACGCGGGACCTCTCGAGTCGGCGACACCATGAAACCCGGCGTACAAACTACTCGGCCACGGAGGTCGTCAATTATATTAATGTATTGTGTGTAGAAATTATGGTCACATTATTGGTTTTCTTAATCGAAAAACATTAAAACTTAAACATATTTTCGCAGACGAAAACCTGAGTCGGTTTGTTTTTTTTATCATCTAATTTCGATTTACTCGGTTTTGGCTTTACAACGAGGAATTATGATTAAACTATTGCATCATCATCATCAGCCTATTAATGTCCCCACTGCTAGGGCACAGGCCTTCCCTATGGATGGAATAGGGAGATTGGGCCGTGACCCACCACCGGGCCCAGTGCGGATTGGCGAGTGCTAACGACTACAGACGCAGCCGGGACCAACGGCTTAACGTGCCTTCCCAAGCACGGAGGAACTCAAGATAGAAGATTTTTGGTCACCCATCCAGTGACCGACCACTGCGAAAGTTGCTTAACTTCAACGATCGCAGTCGAACGTGTTCACCACCCGCGCCATCGAGCTCCACTATTGCATAGTCGATATAAATAATAGAAAAATAAAGATGGTGGTTTACTATATGCTTCAGTACCCTTAGCACGAACCAATATCGAATTCGAATAGTCTGCGAGTGTGAAATGTAATTGTCCTCACATAATTCTCATACTGGGCCCCTTATATATGTAAATCGATTCTTAAGGAGTAAACTTCAAAAAATATTTCAAATACAATCATTATCGTAGTCAACCTATAGGGAAAATGGGCTATGAATTATGGTGCAAGTTGCCAACGCCTGCCGATGCAATCGGGAGCAACGGACAGCTTAAATGTTACTTCTGTACCCCTAGCACGAACCAATATCAATATTGTCAAATGTGTGATTTTTAGTTCTCGTTACGTCCGTTGTGGCACTGCTTTTCAGGTTTCCATACAAAAATTGACAATGACATTTCGGACTCGTAAACTATTCAAATTCGATATTGGAATTCGAAATGTCATTGTAAATTGTGGTGTGGTGATTGTGGGTGTGAAGCTTAATGTGTAGAACCCTAGCCTGTAAACCAGCTCGGATTTTCCAGTATTTCTACAATCGGTAGCCAAACGCGTTCTCCGAAGCGCGTCATTGGCAGTGATGATATTGTTTTTGCCCACTCGCTTGATAAGGAGTCGGAATTTTTATTTCGGAATGCCGAATTGGTGCAAAAAGCGGTCGGTCCCAGGAGACGAGTGCAATTTGTTTAGGCATTTTGTAGCACGCACGCCGCGACTCGGGCGGCATCCATAATTGTCTATAGGTCGTTCATTTTTTAATCTATTGATAGGCCCGATAAATGACTGCCTCAACTGCATTGCTGTTGTGTAAG